TTCGATTTACGAAAGGCCCCCCCGACGTCAAAACCAGTAGAATCGCTAGAAAAAGAACAAAAATGATAGCGAAAAAGATCGAGGGGCCTTTCGTAAATCGAATGCAGTTCGATGAAAAAACGTTGTGGAGAGTTCGACGACGCCTAGTTTTGTTCAGAAATGTTTGCTCTACACGAATGGACTATTACAAAAAGTTTCCGTTGAAATCGCTCGGGACTTGATTTTTAGGGGTTGTCTAAAATATTGGTTTTCCAGAGACCTGGTTTGCAGAAATTTTAATGGAATTTTCATATACACCTCATCTGATTATAAATTCTTTCAGTTGTTCAAATCTTTTTTCATATTTGTTCTAGCTATTATGATCGAGGAGAAAAAAATTAAAAATAAAGATGGATGCTGAATTTTGGCCGCCACTGTATACTGAATGCGACACATCCGAAATTATTTTTCTGATATCACTTTTAGTGATCGTATAATCGTTTCGGAGAAAGTGGTGTTCGATGTTTTGGACTTAGAAATTTTTCTAATACGAGATAATTAGCACGTGACGACCAGGGAAAATTCTATCGTTCTTCCTATGAGATAATTAATCGTCATATGGCATCCTTTTGTAGTGAATGTATACTATAGTGCTTGATATGATGAAAGCTATAGAAGAATGTTTGATAGAATAGTGAATCAGCTGGTACGATAATGTGAATAATATGCTGTATTAAATAGCTGAATAAAATTCGAAACATATTTTTGTTATTAGAGGAAAAAATACGAAGTTCTTCCGAAATATTTGCAGTTTAAAGTAATTATCTACATAGCTTATGTCATAGCTAGAAGCTAACTGGTTTCAGAAATGTGTCACTCAGTCGGCTTCCAGTCTTAGCAGTGCGCAGTTGCATCTAGTTCCATTTGATGGTCCTACATAAAACTACAGAATACTGCTGACTGTGTTTAGTTCAGTTCGTTATAAAAACATGTAAAGATTTAGTAAACTAGATGCTAAAAGTAAATCTCTTAACCGCGATATCAGCAGGTTCAAAGAAAATAGAAATTAAACAGCGCAAAAAAAAGAAACGAAGGACATATTCTTTGAAATGCAACCAGCTAATGTTCAAAATGAAGACTGGAAAATGGGAGTAGATTTAAACGGAGCATGGGTAACCTGGTGAAACAATTGTGTGAAACAGCGTTTCCAAAATGGGGTTCCGTGAAGTGAAACCAAGGGTTCCGCCAGAAAAAAATAAGAAGATAAAAATTAATTTCACGACGTAAAAAGAATTACGTAGCCTTAAATAATTTTTGTCAAATATTATGTCAAAATACTACTGGGGTTCCGCAAAGTTTTAAATTTTATGAAAGGGTTCCATGGCTAAAGTAAATTGGGAAACGCTGGTATGGAAAGTGAGATGAGGTGGTCTATGCTTTCGCAGACTTTGAGGGCAGTTAATAAACAGCGACAACAAACAAAAGGGAGAGATATAATTATTTACAGAAATCGTTTTTCAATTTTATCTTGTTTTAGATCGGACTTTGTGATTGAGATGGATGCTAAAAGTTTTGATGAATGGCATGATGCCTCAGCTGATCACTCAAGATTACACCAACAATCATCTGTCGATTCAGAACCACTGTCATCTCAAGCCGATCAAAAACAAACAGTGATTAGTTCTTATCAAACTAAATCAAAGAAAAATTCAGATTCTCTGCTTTGTTCCCCTTCCTCCTCAAACTCAGCTAGTCCAAAGAAAATCATCCAGGACTTAGATGAACAACATACACAATCGGGTAGTAAGCGTACAATGGAGTTTAGTGGTAAAACAAATATAAATGTTGATTTAAATTGTGGACCAGCTCCACTGTGTTATGAAGAAAAAGCTATCAAAGAACGAGAACAGTGCGATTATACAATAAAAATAACAAAAGAAATGGCTGAACAAAATAAAGCACCAAGAAAAATAAGAATTTATGCAGATGGTGCGTTGAAATTCGAAGTATTTACTCGCTGACGTTATATTAACGAATTACCCTGTTATTTTCAAATCTTCACGTTTATTTTCAGGTATCTATGATTTGTTTCATGCTGGTCATGCCCGTCAATTGATGCAAGCTAAAAACGTGTTTCCAAATGTTTATTTGTTAGTTGGCGTTTGTAACGATACGTTAACTCATACGAAAAAAGGCAAAACAGTTATGGATGAAGCTGAACGATATGAAAGTGTAAGACATTGCCGATATGTCGATGAAATTGTAATCGATGCGCCATGGGTAAGTGTATTCGTGTTTCGTTCATTTAAGCCTTCACTACTTGTAATGTCTCTTAGGTACTAGACGATGAATTTCTAACTCAAAACAAAATTGATTTTGTTGCACATGATGAAATTCCTTATGGAGCTGATGGACACAATGATGTTTATCAGCATATTAAAGTAAGAGAGAAACGAAAATTGCGTATATTTCAAGTTCGACAGTCTACTTGAGTTTTTCACATAATAATTTAAAAAAATATTATTTATTATATAGGCTCGTGGCATGTTTGTTGTTACTCAGCGTACAGACGGTGTTTCAACAAGTGATATTATTTGTCGTTTGGTTCGGGATTATGATATGTATGTGAGACGAAATTTAGCACGAGGTTATACGGCGCATGATTTAAATGTCGGCTTTCTAAAAGGCAAATCGATTCAGTTTCAAAATAAAATGGACACAATGAAGTCAAAGATTAGAACATATGAAGAAGGAAGTAAAACATTTATGGAACGATGGGAAGATAAATCGAAAGAATATATTCATAATTTTCTGGGTTTATTTGAACGAACAAGATTAGCTCTTCAACGTACACGTTCATCAGGCATGTTGGTTGAAGCGAGTGGAAGTAAACAAGATTTCGGCGGAAGTGGAAGTGATGAAGATATTATTGATTATGAAAATGGTGGTATGCGAAGTAATAGTCCGACACATATTGACTATAGAAACGTTAGTGAAATATATAAAGAAAATTATAATGAGAAGAAAGCCAAGGGTGTCCAGGAACATAGTGACAGTAATTAATGAATTCCATACTAACGCCAGAGGGTAATTTTGTACTATCAAATAACTTTTGTATTTGATTTAGAAATAGTATTTCGGCTTTCGATTTCAAAGCTAAATACAGTATTGAATGGCTTCATTCACAGTAAACGATAATTCTAACTTCTTTTCACTAATCCTAAATCAAGATACGATGCTTAATCTATAATTGCAAGTGTATCTATCCAGGATTCTCATAATGACTCTGAGTATTTGAACATATCACATGGTGCGTTATCAACTTCTAAGCGTGAACAAATGACACTAACTCATCATATTTTATTCTCTACATAGTATAAAGGTGTGAACTAGTATACCGTAGTCAAAAAGCAGTGTACTCAGATGTTTTTTGAATAATGTTTGATCGGAATGAGGTACAGACCTGTGGATTTCAACATTTGATAGAGGACACTCGGGGCTATAATCCAATCAA